CGGCTGCTCCCGCTGTCTTTTATCCACCGCCTTTTCTTTTTGTTACGTCTTTTATCTCTTAAAATGAGTCCACAAACTGTCACTATTGCTTCTACATCGTCATCCGTGTTTGGTCATTCTAATTTCCCCTATGCTATGTTGGAGGTTTTGTGGATTTTCTTCTGGAATCGCGATGTTCGTGACTGGAATGGGTTCGTGTGGTTTGTTGCTCCTTCCTTGTGGCTGAACACGAACCGATCGAACCTGTTGTACTTTTATCAGCTCTGTGGTCACAGAGGTTTGGAGAATCGGCCAACAATTCTCAAATCTTGCCGTCTAAACCAGACTTAAGACTCACAAGCTCATCTCATCTCATCTCGACCACTGCCCAAACGCTCTGACTCTGGTCGCTATGGTAACGTTTACATATCCCTTCAAAATAACAGAAGCGCCACAAAAACGAACATTTTACTTTCGTGAAAATTTTAACTTATTTTAACTTGACTAACGGGAGCCCTGAGCTTGTTTCTCTGCAACGAGACGGTCCCATCAGAGAGGGGAGTGATGGGAGACAACGACACCCGAAGTGTTGCTTATATCCACAGCCTGCTTGGTCTCTAGTGGCAAAGCAGCTTGAAGCTTCATTGCCTCATTAGCAGCCGGTCGCCGCATGTTACGCAGAGCGGCTTGTAATGTGGGACTCACCTACCGGTCCGGGATAAATCCATCCTCCTGTCTCTTCTCTGGGCCTTTTCCCCTTTCAAAGACATCTGATCTGTTTCTTACTCATTTTGCTGCTTGTGGGCTCAGTGTTGGTGCGCAAGTAACTGAGAGAATCCGGTTAAAGAATTTTCAAAATAAAAGATCTTTCAGACTCAAATAATACATAAAACGGAATATTTAATTATTTCTTGCGCTGCCCGGTACCAATTGGTCCACGGACCGTTACCGATCCGTGGCCCGGGGGTTGGGGACCACTGATTTAGGGGGTATCCTGAAAACAGTGTGGGCTGCATTGATAGTTGGCATACATTTGGGGAAAGCCCAGTCTGATCCAGAGAGTCTGCATCCATCCCACTTTGGATGGAGCAGATCTTCTTTCTAGGAATCTGGCCAAAAGCATTAGTCCTCCAAAACACTGAGACTCAGGGTACAGGCCAGGAAGCAGAGTAGTGGTTTACACTTTGCAGCTTCTACACTGTTACCCACCCACCAGAGTCAAGGCTGTCTTACCAAAATCTAATGGATTATATGGTAAATAAACTGAACTTGTACAGAGTTTTTCCAGTCATTTTGACCACTCAAAGCACTTTACACTAAAGCCACATTTATCCCTTCACACTCAAACTCTCACATAGTTGCACACTGTTATGCAGATTGGCAGGCAACTTCCCAGGGTTACATCAGCATGGGAGGAAGCTGGACTCAAACCTATGCCTTCCAATTAGAAGACTACTACTCTAACCACTGAGCCACAGTCACCTGTTAAAGACGTGAAAGACTGACCTAAACAGTACAAATAATGAAAATCTCAAAGATA